GCAATCTCAATTTGTGCTCTTATTCTCTCTATTTCTAGTCTCTCTCCTCTCACTTTTTCTTTTTCTCAATTTGTGCTCTTATTCTTTTTCTCTCTATTTCTATAATTTCTTTTCTTTCGTTTTCTTCTTTCAGTCTTTATTCCTCTCTTCTCTGCCCATGTTCTTCTCTCTCTAGTTCTTTTTGTTGTTTAACAAACTCTCATTGTTCACTGTCTTTTAACACAAGACACTCTCCTCTTTCTACCCATTTATCAAAACCACCTGACATAGTTATATAACATAATTGTAATTTCTATACTATTTGCACTAATACTACAGTTGTGTGTATATAGGCCTACTTATTTCTGCTGTCATTCACATTTTTTTCTATTGCCACTTACCACTGTATAATCCTGGTTGTGGCTCGCCAAATGTCAGGAAATTTCTTTTTAGTAGAAACATATTAAAGTAAGTATATGGGTGTGTTGGTCTTCTACAGTAGGTGTCTGTTACTTGTTGTCCATAAATTAAAAAAAAATAGATGAACAGTATGTACTCCACTTGTTTTCAAAATAATAATATGTATATATTTGGAACAAGTTAAACATATGTACAAAAATTCCTTACACAATGGAGGTCATACATATTTGAAACACTATATAGTTCTCTTCTTCTTGTCAAAAGTCCACTTAGGCTATTCAATTGTTTTAGAATTCAGTTGACAAGCTGAACTATTTTTCTCTATTTCTATCGCCAGACTATCCGTGTATAGCTCACTTACATCATTGTTGAGTTACCTTAGTTGTATCTTGTACTTCAAAAATCGTCTGCTCCTTTTTCGTATTTCAAGAATCATCTGCCTTTTGTCAAAGTCCACTCAGGTTGGTTCAATTACTTTAAAATATCCTTATCTCTTTTGAGAAAACTTATGTCTCACAAAATTGTTAATCTCACTCTGGCATATCAACTGTTAGACCTTTCACTCCCATGAGCATTTAACTTTACTCTAACTGAACTTCTCCTTCCTGCAACTTTACTTTAGTCTCTTCTGCTATCTATTTGTCCTTGACAGTAATTAATTTAAAATCTTTCAGCCCTTTAGGCCTGAAAGATAATTAGGGGTGCCCAGAAACAGTTCGTCTGGTCACCATTATTTATATGTCTATCATTTAGGCCTTCTAGAGATCTCTATATCCTCGACACCAATGGATTACATGTAACATTCAACAGCCTCGACATCAAGGAATTATAAATACAATGTACGATTCTTAGAGAGTTACATAACCAAACTTTAAGATAATTGCTTTTAACTCTCTTGTTATGAAAAATACTAAACAATCATGAAGATAACCAAACTTGTCATAACTATCGCCTTTAAGATAATTTCTTTTAACTATCTTGTTATGAAAAATACTAAACAATCATGAAATATTCACTCACAAAATTAGTAATACCTACACTAAACAGTCTTTTATATCTGATAAAGACAGGCATGTTCCTTAAAGAAAAAATGGTGGCTGCAAATAGGATAATATTAAAGAAAAGCATAATAAATTTTAGATGTTTAAATTGATTACTATGATGGGAAATTTAGAGAATTATGGAAGATTAAGAGAATAGGTCAAAGAGGAAATTAGGGAATAAAAAACTATATGAAAAGAGGTTGACCGAAAATGCAAAAGTTAATAGTCAGGATTTCTTTAAATAGATTAAGGGTAAACCGAATTTTAAGATGGGACTAGAGCTTATGAGGGATAATAAAGGAAGGCTAAAATCTGATATTTATGAGATGGCTTGTTTATTAAGTCCTACTTTTATTCAATTTTTACTAATGAAGATTTAAGTAATAATCCTCATACTGAATAGTTGCTAGATTGAAATATGATTTAATGAGATGATGATACTAATTCTGAATTCGTTAAGAAGAAATTGAGAAGTTTAAAGAATGATAAAGCTCCTGGACCAGATAATATTTCTCCAAATGTTTTTAAAGAGGTTAAGGACTGGATATGTGAGCCAATTGCAACTATATGTTTACTAGCCTTTTGACATTCTTTGAAGAGGTTACTGTTTGTGCAGATAAGGGTAAGGATATGGATTTGGTGCATCTGAATTTTTGAAAACATCTGACAAGGTGCCACATAAAGGCTTGTTACAAAAATTATCTCTATAGGTGTGTGGAACAAGTTGGCTCATTGGATAAAAAAATGACTGGACTGAAAAAATTGAGTTTAGTCAAACTGGATTAATGTTATAAATGGAGTAATTCAGGGCTCATTGTCAGTACCTGTACATATGTGAAGGAATGATGTATAAATTATTAAATGATGATATTAAGGATTTTGGTGTTACTGGCAGTAAGGAGGATGTTGCTACTTTACAAAAGGATTTGGATTATTTGGTGAGTTGGGCATATAAGTGGCAGATGGCTTTAATTATAATAGATGCAGGGTAATGCATGTAGAATATCATAATTAGAATTTTGAATATGATTTTGATGGAAATAACTTTAACAGTGTTATGGAAGAAAAGGATCTTGGTGTTCTAGTTGATTTGTCTCTTAAGCTATCCAAAAACAATGTGCTGTTGGTAATGGCAGGGTAAATACAGCTTGAAATTATACTTACAGAAATAAGGAATACAAGTCTAAAAAAGTTATAATTTCATTGTATAGGTCATTGGTTGGGCCACATTTAGAGTATTGTGTTCAGTCTTATCTCAAGAAGGGCACTGAATATTTGAAAAGGGTTCATATGAGGACTACTAGGATGATACCTGGAAAGGAAAGGTTGTCATACAAGGATAGGTTAAGATCTCTGAAATTGTTTTCTCTTGAAAAAAGGAATCATCTTCAGCTATGATAGCTTTACTGTTATAACAGAATGGTTGACCTTTGGGATTGATTGTCTTCAAATGTGGTGGATACAGTTAATTTAAGAGAGTTTAAGGGAAGGCTTTGTAAATATTCAAAACTATTTTATGGTTTAGTGGAAGGGAAGGCCTAAATAGACCAAAAGGTCTCCTGTTGTTCTTAAATTATACATTTATTTATAGAGAAGAAAAATAGTTGTAAGCCATGATGCTATTCAAAAATAACCAGAAAATAGTGAGAACTCATTGTTAATTGAATAAGATATAGATAAAAAGCATACAGAACTAAAGGAGAATAACAACAGATCTACAAATAAGAAACAAAGCTGATGAACTTATAAAACAGATAAAACAAGAAAGTAGTTGTAGATCATAATGTAGGAGGTCTAAAGAGAAAATACAGAGCTAGGACTGATAAAAAGGACTATATATATATATATATATGAGAGAGAGAGAGAAGAACAGTTACGTCAACTATTAAGATGATGGACTGGTGACAAATGTATATGTTGCAAACTGTGTGATGATAGGCCTAACAAAGAAGATTGTTGTTTTTGAATTTTCATACAAATCTACTCAAGGTCTATCTGCCCTAGCTGTATCTAATTTAGAGGTGATAGACTAGGGGGAAAGGTTACCCTTTTACCAATGAAAAGTGGAAATGACCACCACATTATAATGCCCCAATGAATGAAAGGGCAAACATATGCGGTGGCGGGACTCAAACTCATGACATGTAGATGCGAATTAATTGCTCAAACTGCCAGGACATGCCAGCTAGGCCGGGCCCTCTAACAGAGAGGGAGAAAAAGTATGCAAACATGTCTAGGCCATATGTGGGGTCTACAGAGAAAAAAATTATTACATGTTTGGCATATAGAATTAGCTTATGCTATGTGGTGATACTAGTTACTTCATATAAAATAACATTTATATACACCTGGAAAAAAGTTAAGCACCCCCAAATATTTTTCAGGATTGCTTATTGAAAATAAGGTTTAATTTTCATGATGTTGAGCAATGTTCATAATTTCAAACATAATTAAAAGGATGTGAGCGTTCAGGTGTGACATTTAA